CATCCATCCATCTAACCATACATCCATTGATCTAACATCCATCCATCCACCCACTCATCCATCCATCGATCTAACATCCATCCATCAATCTATCCATCCATCGATCTAACATCCATCCATCAATCTATCCATCCATCGATCTAACATCCATCCATCCACTCATCCATCCATCGATCTAACCATCCATCGATCTAACATCCATCGATCGATCTAACGTCCATCCATCCACTCATCCATCCATCCATTTATCCATCCATCCCTCTAAAAATCGTACGCTGTGATTGGTTCATCCAGTTTTTCCTGACTTGGTGAAACGTGGGCTTTTTTTTTGGAATAACAGTAAATTTTCCCCAAATTCTTGTCCTGCCAGGACTAAAACTACAGTCCTGAAGTAGAAACTTTCCAAAATGTAACTTTTTTTTGTTGCAGTTTTTTTTTCCATCCCAAACACTCTCTCTCTCTCTCTGTCTCTCTCTCACTGTCTCTCTGTCTTTGTCTCTCTGGTTCTGTCTGTGTTTTTTGTTGCATTTTACCAAAGTCTTTCAACCGACTTTTCCCTCGACTGCGTTTGCACCGTACGCCCGGGTGCTGACGAGCTTCATGCCTAGAGGAGTGGAGGAAAAGCAGGCAGAATCTTACAGTCCAGTTTGGCCCAGGGGTACTCCATGTCCCAGACCATCCCCGGCCAACGCCTGCACGCTGTGGTGGAGCACGGGTGACATGTTAGTGGCAGCGATGGGAGCCGGAGCAGAGCAGCGAGAGAACGTCAACACACACACACACACACACACACACAGGACAGGGGTGTGTGGGGGCGCAGGAGCGGCGCTGGGGTGAGCGTGGTATGAATGAGACGGAGGAGCAGCGTCAGCCAGTCGTGTTAGAATGGAGGTTAACTGTAGGTTTGGTGGAGGTCACAGGGTCAGGTCACAGGGTCAGACATCAAAGACTTGAACAGCAGGTTCAACATTTGATTGTTAATGTTGTGATAGATATTATCTCAAATTCTTAAAATCCATTAAATGACCGTGTTGTTGATCGGACAATTTTATATGTACATAAAAATTTTTAAAAGTTTTCTAAGATTTTGTTTTTCCTTGACTTTTTTTCTTTAACGGTTTCCGCAACATAACATAACATAACAAGGGATGTGATGTCTGATAATATCGGCCGATCGATGTTATCGGCCCGATATTAGCATAATTATGTAATATCGGTAAGAACCCGATAACGCAACGTCAGGGTTTGGCCAAATATGTTCGAATCTCTTGCGGGTCCTGAGACGTTTACCTCAGTTTTGCGGGAAAACGCCTGAACATATATCGGTATCGGTTGATATCGGAATCGGAAATTGAGTGTTTGGACAATATTGGCGTATCGGATATTAGCAAAAAGTTATTATCGGAGATCTCTAAACTTAACAAAACATATATTTGAACTCCAGTTATCGGTTTTTTCTCTAACTAACATAAAGTTTGTTCCAGATCGAGTCTGTTTCACCAATTTGATGAAAAGTAAACCACGATCCACCCACAGGTGGCGCAGCTGCAGATCATGATGATTTCACCAAACCTGAATTTCATCTGGACAACAAGAAATCAGGTTACACTTGATTAAAAATGTGAACATATTCTCACTTCGATTCACAGCTTTGTGTGAAGGAAACATTTCGGTGGATTTTTAATTAATTTTTTTTTTTATATATTTTGTATTTTCCTGACCCTTTACTACCACAGATTAGTGTTCAAATACACAGGCAGCAGTTTTGAATGTATATTTGATTATATTTGCTGTAAGTCTTTCCTTCTTCCTTGCCTCCTCTGCTTTTTACTGAGTGAACGACCTGCTGTTTTCACCTGTTTATTATGGTTCAAACTGCATTAGAAAATAAACTAATTAGTTAAAAAAAAAAAAAGGTGAAACGATCCTGTAAACAACCGCTTGGTTTGTTTTTTTTTTGTTCTAGAAAAATGAGTGGACAGAGGTGATTTCACCAACAGTCCTTTAAAGCCTAATGCTCATGAGTGACTGCATTACTGCATATTATGAGTGGAGAGAGTCGGGATAACGTATGAATGGGCAGACACGCACACGAGCGCCGCCTAATATTTATCTATTAATCTATTTACATGTGCAAATTCCGGAGAAATACAAATTACCATTCAGAACCGGTTTCCGCAACAGCGAGGATGACACAGCTTCGCAGGCTTCATTACGTTATGGCCCCTCGCATTAGCCCCAGTGCTACGTCCCACGCTGTGAAAGGCGATTTTTTTTTTTTTTTTTTTTCTTGCTGGGCCCTCTCACCTTTTTTAAAAAAAAAAAAAAAAAAAAAAACACACACATATATGTGTACATATATATGTACATATGAATATATGTACATATATATGTATATACTGTATATACATATATGTACATATATATTTACATATATATGTACATATATACAGTACATGTACATATATGTACATATATACAGTACATGTACATATATATGTACATGTATATGTATATATGTACATATATGTATATATGTACATATATATGTACATGTATGTATATATGTACATATATGTATATATGTACATATATATGTACATGTATGTATATATGTACATATATGTATATATGTACATATATATGTATATATATGTATATATATATATATTTACCCTGGCTTTTGTCGAAGAGGTTAGAGAGTCCAGCTAAACTTAAAAAATGTTTAAAATAAATACCGGTAATATTTAAATATAAATACTGCTCCTACAGTATTATATTCATATGTTCATTGTATTTTTTTTAATAATAACTAATTCAATTATTTATAAGTTTTATATGAGCGGCTTTGTCATGTGAGCTCAGAGTAAATAAGATAATACTGTATTTATTTTTATGTTTTTTTCAGCTCGTTGTGTGTCATTAAAATGTCCAGTAATATAAACCAGAACTCTATAAAAGTATAACTCTATAAATCGCTGTATTTCAATGAAATGCTGTACCTAAAAATTCTGACAGATTTTTCTTTTTTTTTACAGTTTTATATAAAACAACGATGTCTGCAAAAATAAACATAATTAATAACCGAGTCCCTTATTAAACCCACATACTGAAACGTACAGTGTGAGTCACAGGCTGCCACCGGAGGCGCCATTAGGGACATGTGGTTCCTCTGGGAATTCAAAAATAATCCTGACCACGTCTGTGAAATTATGGTTTAGCAGATTTGTCTGTCGGTTGTTAGGTTTCTATCAGGGCTGGACGTCTGAGTGACTGGAGCAGAGAGTGGGGTCATGTGACACCTGGGTGGGGAGGTTTGCTGATGTGTCTGGGCCAATGATGACACGACGTCACGGGGAACAGATCAGATCAGATCTACGGTCCTAAAGTCGTCTACAAATATCCAGAAAACAGATGTGAAAATGACAGAGATTATGGTGTGGCACTGTGGAGCGCTGCCCCTGTCAAAACAGAACGTGCGCTGGGATCCAATCGAGTGGAAAAGTGCAATCCTGTATTGATCTGGGCGCTGCTGCAAAATCGATGTGAGCTGCGACGAGTGGGAAGAACAAGATAAGACACGTTTTCCCTTCTATTCATCACCGGCTGATAAGAGTGCTGTGCTGACATCTGCGAGCTGCTGTTTGTCTGCTGCATCTCTTAAGTGTTGGTGAATGAGGTCTCTCTTACACACACACACTTGTGTACACACACACACACACAGACACACTTGTTCAGGCACACTAAAACTGTTGTTTAACTGCACGGCAAAGTAACTTCAGAGAAAAGATGAGGAATGAAAAAGATCCACGGAGCGGAGATGGAGACGGGAGATAGTTTCAGAGTCAGTCAGAGCAGAGGGTGAGAGTGAGGGAGGTTTGATACTCATCAGAGCGTCCAGATGAAACACAAAGGAGGGTGTAAACAGGGTGAAGGAGGAGAGGAGGAATATTTCAGAGGAAATAAAAAAAAGAGAGAAAGCGTAGAGGGGCAAGAGGAGGAGGAGGAGGAGGAGGAGGAGGCATGAGAAGAAGAAGAAAGGACGGAGTGCAGAAAGGGAAATGAAAGACAGACGGAGGAGATTTGGTTAATTTCTCACCTGTCCCACTTAGCGGGTAGCTCGGAGAGGGGGAGAACACCTGCGAGGCAAAGTCCTCAAATGTCATGACCTCTCGGTGGTTCTGGACAATGGCCTCCAAGTAGAGTGCTCGCTCCTCGTAGCTGAGTGGCGCTTGTTAAGTGACAAAACATAATGGTATGTGGCCGCGTTACGTCAGAGACGGCAACGAGGTTGGGTAAGAATTCGGTCATTCAATCACAGAACAAAACACTTTCAGTTCAACCAGCCTCCAGCAGGGGGTAGCGGTTTAATGACCGCATTAGCCCCGCAGTGCAGGTGAACACCCCGCTAGAGCAAGGGTGACATCGCGGGGCGAGAGGCAGTCGCCGGGCAGGGCAACTCTGCATCATCTGCATCTAAACACAGACTGAACAAACCCACCAGGCCACGGTGGCCTGGATGAGACGGCAGCCTCTGAGATAAGACGAAAAAAAAAGGAAAAGAAAAGAAAAGAAAAGAATACTGCACTCCTGGAGATTCTCCTCTCCTCTTCTCTCCCACTCATTCGTCCCTCTCTCCCCTCTAATAGAACCCCTGCTGCAGGCAGCATGTGTTGGACCACCCTCCCCGATGTGCTGCCTGCCACTTCTCCGTGCCATCAGGGGGAAAATTGGAGCCATTTGAAATTCAGAGTGACAGGCAGCGACTGGAGCCGGGGCGGCCGGCGTGAGGGACGGAGAGTTGGATTTGAAATGGGGGGGAAACTCGAATAAGAATAAAACAGAGGAGTCGAAGCGGCGTAACGGCCGGCGGCTGAGTGTGAAACACATCCTGACGGTCATTATCATATCATTACGGCGAATGATCTGTTGTGGAATGGTCGCAAGTGCCGGATAAAATATGGTGCGGGGGAAACTGTTGGAGCAAAACCGCCTCTGATGCCATAATCATCGTCAGGCCGTCTGATTTAACCGAGCGTGCGCATGTTTGACAATGAGTCTGACAACCGCTCTGATTTTCCTCGCGGCTGTCGTTCGAGGACACGCTCCCCTGATTGACAAATAGCTTGACAAACACACACGGTCTCTCCGGTCCTCCCTCCACAAGTGCCAGGGTGGAGTGGCACTGGGCTGGCACCGGAGCCAGGCCTGAACAAGGCTGAGCCGAGATAGGCTGGACTGGGCCGGGAGCCTCTGGTCTGGGTCGGACAGATACGACCAGACAGGGACTGGGAAGGAGGCCCGCTGTGGGCACATGCCGCCACAGCCAGGGCCAAGGCTGCCATGACCAATGGCTTTGAGGGGAACCGTGGCAAAGTAGAGGCGACAGGCACCTGAGCCGGGGCACGCCGGGGGGCGGCCGTCGCCAAGCTGCTCACGGGGACAAGCAGAAACGGACGCGGGTCGGAATAAAGCGGTGGAGCAGCTTCAACAAATCAAGTCGTCGACGCGAGGTTGTTCATTTAAAAGGGACGGATGACGACCGACGTACAGGTCATCATCTGGACCAAGGTTTTCGGAGTTTTTTTTTTTCAGTGTTTACATCGGGCTCTGAAAGGGCTCTGAGAAGAACCGACACTGAAGTAACCTTCAATCCTGAGTGTGTGAGCGAGGTGAACGGTACGTTCCATTATTATAACGACCTCCATTTCAACATAAGTTTCCCCCACGATGGACATTGACTAGAATTACTTGTGAATATATCATAAAAACACTGTGGTCTCACTTCTGCCTCTCTCTCTTCGAGAGAACATTTTATGACGTGTAAAACAGCGCCCCCCATAAATGTTGCGTGTTGAAAACATGGTACTGCATCCTGTTGTCTGTGAGGAGGCCAAACTGATTTAGATAAAAATTTTCCCCACGCCACCTATTGGTCAAAATATTGCATGTACATTTAGAATTACAATGACGTCACTACTTACTAATTACTTTACTACAGACTTTTTTTTAATCTAATTGTGTTTGAGGAAAATCTTTGGTCTGCGGAGACGAATGTTTTTGGACCAAAATCCTTTATCAAGAAAACAATCTTCACCTCGTGCTACATTAAACCCAATTCACAGAGATCTGATGAATTCAACAAAATAAAATATAACTGCGTCTTAAGTCTCACAGGCAGGGCAGCCCTACGTCCGGTCGCAGTCGGACAAACACGCACTGTAACAAAATCACTACTTTCAGCAGACACTGTTGGGCAAAGAGCAAGTATCCCAGGCTCTGCTGCCATGGTTACTTGGGTCACATCTCTGTGTACTGGGTCATAGCCAAGGTTTTATGGACAGATCAGGGGAGGATTTGTTATAAAAAAAAAAAAAAATAGAACAAAATGTGCCCAGACAGGTGAGGAGTCGGAGGCAAAAAAAAAACAGGAACGTTTTAAGTAAAAAGTGATTAATAAAAGAAAGGGAATGAGAGAGAGAGAGAGAGAGAGAGAGAGAGAGAAACCCTCGGCTCAGCGTGGGTCAACAGAGCCATATGGCCGTCCATTATCAGAGATGCAGATGACTGGAGGCCTGTTATTGAGATTCTTAAAGCAAATATTGACTCCAGCTGGAGCAGAGACTCTGCCTCGGACTCGGACACACGCCTCTTCTGCACCACTTCCTTCCGCTGCCCTCTGTCCAAGACAAATGGATTTAAATGGGTGAGAACGAAAGAAAAAAAAAAAAAACTTCAAAAGAATGAGTCAAATAAATGGATGTCGGATGGCACGAGGGGGACAGATATGGGCGAGGAGGGGGGGGGGGCTAATAAAAGGCCTGCTACTGATAAGGGAACGCGGGAGATGTAATTAGCTCATTTGAGTTAATGTACAATGTAATCTGTGGGTGAAAAAAAAAAGCTGCACAAAAATCTGACCAGACGCACAGAGAG